ACCACGCTTTATGTATGTTCGTGTGTACGTTTTTTGGGTGCATGTAAAGATACTTCATGCAAAATCGAAAAAAATTAGGAAGGTGGAGGGTGTCATCTCTCCGGACATGCGGGACTATGCTAATGATCAGCAGGCTTGCAGGTGAAGCTTGTTTAGGCCAGAGAGAATTGTTTGTGCGGCTTTGCCTGTATGTGTATATAGAAATGTGGCAGCTCGGGCTAGTTGGTATGACATGACGATAGTTATAGCGCGAGAACAAAACGACGACACAGAGACAAGTGTCTTTCGTGTCCTTCTTGTCTCTGTGTCGTCGTTTTGTTCTCGCTCTATAACCAAGGAGCATTAAAGAAAAGTTGCTGGAGTGGAAGCTCCTGCGATGCCCTGCCAGCAGAAGTGAAGCCACCTATTGCCACTGCCAAGATGGTGGAAACATGCTCTTTTCTGATAGTGCCCACTTAAATATGAAGCGGCTTTGATACGTTATGTAAATACTATGGTAGTTCTATATTAAAGGATAGTTGTTCCTGACGAAATAACACTCAGAAACAAATATAGATGACTGAATCTTCAGAGAACTTTGCCTCCAATTAGAGGCTCACTACGGCAAACTAGTGACCTTAAGACGCACTTGGAGCAGTATGAGGCCCGAAAATGTTGACACATTAAACTCGTTGGGCGTGCGAGGGAAACGCTTCGTTTTCGATCGCTGAACGGCGATACCTTATCATGCCCCTAGTAAGGTGGCCGCCACAGCCGCCATCTTGCCAGGGGAACTGCTTCACTTCTGCGCAATCATTTCCACTCCAGCGATTTTTATAATCCTCCTTGGCTATAACTATCGTCATGTATATAGAAAGTACGAGAGCGTGAGCTTTGCCGTTGCGTCGTGGAGGAATGCCGTCATGCGTCTAGTCTGGAAGGACGGCGTCTACACGAGCGGCACGCGCCGCTTCACCTTCACGACTCGCCCTGTCTACGCACTCCCCCACCGGCCTGTTTAAGGAGGGGGGGGGTGGGGGTTTTCCTCTGCTGGGGGATATCCGTGCCGCTTGGTATAACAGCAGCTGCCGCTTCCGCATACTATAGTACACACACAACAGGTGGCGGGGGGGGGGGGGTCATTTATTACGAGTATATGAATGAAATGCGTGACGCTTTCGAAGTAAACAGTGCGGCCCGCCTTGCTACTCACGAATGTATGTGCATACTGTGACTGCAGTTTATTCTACGCATGACGCGACGCAGTGCAAACGCACCTTTGGCGCGTAGCATCTGTTCTGCTCAGTGAATCACGCACTGGTCGTGTACTACTGCCAGGAAGTGTGCAAATGAACGGAAGAAGGGGAACTAAAGGGTAGTTTTTGTCTTTTCATTATAGATGCTACATTGATAAAAAACCAATAGGCAATAAATCTAAGAAAGGTATACGGGAAGGTAATCTGTAGTTTCTTAACTGCATTGCAATACTTATTGTATAAATGTGAAGAAATTAAAAGTGATCGAAAAGACAACTTATCGCTGGCTGGGAAGGAAGATGAAACCTTCGCGTGACGCGTCCGAAGTAGTGGGCACATACTCACACTTTATATTCTTACGAACGAACGAACGAACAAACAAACAAACAAATGAACGAACGAAAGAACGAACGAATGAATGAATGAATGAATAAATGAATGAATGAATGAATGAATGAATGAATGTGTCGCAATTGACCTTTGTCCTTACCCAGTTGTCGACTTCGTGAGTACTTCACTGACACTTATATAGGAGCCAGGTATGCAATAGTACAAACCCTTGGTAATCATCCGCGCGTATGCCAAATAAGCTCGCGCGTTTCTACAAGACGTGAACCTGCAGAAACAATCGTTCAGCCCACATAAAATCGAATAAAGGTTATACCACCACTAACCTCGTCGAGGGCGTGATCATGCCTTTGCAGACACGCGCAGTCACTTCACATGCCTATATACTCACTCCCAACGCCAGCTCCTACCGATTGTATCAATTAACGGCCGGACGGCTTCACACGCAGCAGTGGCCCGCGTGCATCAAAGCGCAACAATCGATCGGCTCGATCGGCCTCGTCCCTCATTAGCACGTAAGCGCAGTCGGAGAACAACGTTGAGGGCGTGCCAACGCCAAGACACGTCACGTCGAGCGATTCGCTTCCCAATCAGTCGACCCCCGCAGAAGGCTAATTCAGGCCTCGTCGCTTTTTTCTCTCTCTCGAAAGGGGGTCTCGGCCAGCGAAAGCACGAGCCTCGTGCGAATGCATACGCAGGGTGTCAGCGTCTCGTGGGCTTTGTGGCCGAGACCCCCTTCGGCGAAGTATTTACGCAGCCGCTACGTGAACGCGTGTACAACGACGACAAACACGTCATACGCATTGTGAGTAAAGCGCAGATGTGCATAGCCTAACCTAACCTAAGCCGGTCCCGTGTACAAGTCAGCAAAGCCACGAGTCGCATGGTTGTGTGCGCGTGCATTGCGTTTGCACGCGTCCATCGTGCGGGTTGTGACCGAGACCTCCTCGGCGAATGAGAATCCACTCATTTTCGTCGGCGCATGCGCGCACGCTCATACCTGGGACACAAGCTGTACGCCGTTGACCACGGGAGTGTATATCATAACTTGACCTAAACAGCATGCACCAAAGACGTGTATACCATAACTCAACCTAAACAGCATGCACAAAAAACTCGAAGCTAGAAAAAGGGGTGCCCCAGAGGCCGCCCCGGGCCCCCTTCCTAAATTTGGATAGCGGTGGCTGTTGTGCCCGAGGACAAATAATTAATAAAATATTATTCTTCAAAGTTTCCAACAAGCCCCCCCCCCCCCCCCCCAAAAAAAAAAGAAGAAAAAACCTGGCTACAGGCGTGATGCACAGGTTACTTTAATGTATACATGTGACAGTGCTTTTGTACATCGGATTGTCGTGCTATTTCTCCTGTTTGACCGGCAGAGTTCGCTCACTTGCACTGTTCAAACCATACCATACCACTCTGTTTTACTGGTATACGTGCACGGGAGCGAGTGTATGCTTACGTTGGCAATATATGACTGCACTGTTGCGTTGTGCGAACGAAATTCCCCCGCAATGCCACACGTATACTGAACTGCCGCGCAAGGAAACTCGATCTAATGGGACAAAACATTTATAAAAAGGAAAACACGTGTCATCAATGCAACCTATCGACTTAGATATGTTGCAATTATATCAGAATATAGCCAACAGTTCGCAAAAGTCACATTTGGGTGCACGCTAAAGAACCCCAGGTGGTCTAAATTCCCGGAGCTCTGTACTACGGTGTCTCTCATAATCGTATGGTGGTCTTGGGATGTTAAACCCTTGTATCAATCAAGTTCGCAAGCGTAAGCCAACACTAACCAAGTTAGCTAACGCCACAAAGTGCTGGAATAGTACGCGAGTTGAATGTGGGCGCGTGTTTAGTTTGTGACTGACGCCTTTTAGCGAAAGTGGGTTGGAAGTGGTGGGAGGATGGGGGCAGCCTCTCCAGTGTGTATACACCTTACTCTTAAATACGCTGTCACTGGCATAGTCGCGTGACCGTGAAGGTCGCGGCCGACTTCTGTACTCTTCGTGGGGGGCGGCGAATGAGCGTCCCAAAAGCGGTATCTGCGCAATATGCGGGTGCCTGGACGCGCATGGCAAACACCGTTACTTTCAAGTTGGGCACGCTTCGAGTAGGCAAAGAAAGGAAGATAGGCATGGTCGTGCTGTTTGTAGCAGACGACGTAGTGCGCACGTCTGTTCGTTTAAGACAGACGTACGCCAACAGAAATCGTGCGTCTGTTCGGCCGCATGAGGGCGGCACTGCGTGCGTGTGCTTGCTTGTGCTGTATACATGTAGTACACGTTAACGGCGGCCTTGGCATGCGGGAAGGACGCGAACCGTCGAGAGGAAGTCTCTTATACATTTTCTTCGTTATAACGAAAATCGTCGGCTAATTATGCATACGGCGCGCGCAACGTTGTACTTCGGGAAGAGGCTGACGTGATTAATTTCCGCGGCCAGTCTTTTCCTGTATAGCAATGTTTCGTGCGTGGGTCGGCGCACCGTAGCTAAGTGAGTTGGATTGATTGTTAGTTAGGTGAGCTTCAATTCTTATTTCACTGGAACGAATTCGCCTGCAATGCCCGGTCGGATAGTCCTCTTCGACTGGGAAACACGAAATTGTGTCGCACCTGAGAAATTGGCTAAAGCTGATTATGTACCAATTTTCGGACGTGTGTGGGGCTCCACTTGAGCAACCTGTTAGATTAGTTCGCTCCTGTTCATGAAAACTTAAGAGTTCTCGGTCACTTCTGTCTATACTTGTTAACTAATTCTTTTTTGGTTGAAACTTTTCCACTCAACTCATTGTTTTGTGTTATCGTGTGTGCACTTTTGATACATCGTTTTCTAAACTTACGTTTCCTACGTTTCTCAAGACGTACTTCCGATACGCTTTAACGTATTTCATACTTAGTTTAAATTACCCATTTCGGTTAGCAATGCATATGACAGTGCGGTTTGCGCATGTCCTTTCGGTTTTCCTTGGCTATAAGCTGCTGCTTGAAACGTTTTTACGGGATGTACTGGTCGCTTGTTTAGCGCAGCATACAGCTCTTCGAAGTTTAAAGGGGCAAGCGCCTTTCACCATGTGATACGTTACTCGTGAATTCTTAAACGCGTGTGTCAGTCAATTTTTTCGTACCTATATCGCCGTCCTACTTCCCTGTTAATGCGGGTGTTTTTGTCGTTAACGTCCGTGCCATTTCATCTCGAAATTCTCACTGTGTCTCCAATGAGTGGGAAAATACCAATATCACTACTTTCTTTAACGTATGTCTACCTTGGGCATTTGTCTCAAATTCGCTGTCCAGCATTGTTTGCACGATGACTACGCATTGCATATGCGTGCCACATAATTAGGAAATATACGTAAAATGACGCTGTTCTTACAACATGTTGGTCTTTTTTTTCTCTCTCTTGCAGTGCCCCGAGCAGCCATGACGGGCCTTGTCCTGGTATTGGCACTCGCCACATTGGTAAGTCGCCTTATCTGTGTTATAATTCGATAACAAAGTATCCCCCATAAACAAATCCGGAATTCGTAACTATAGGTGGTGTCCTATACATTGCTTCCTATATACGTGCGGAGGGTTCTCCGTTAGTGGGAACCAAGATTCAGCTGAGTGACCCGATTCCCCTTGGTGCATTCTAAAAGTAAACAAGCTCAGCGATGGATGAAAAAGTGACAATAGAGATACGGTGTGCCAAGCCCTCCATTAAGCACTTCGCACGAAGGTGTACGCGTAGTGTATATGAAAAAACAACATCTTATGGTTAATAGTCGCATTTCACGCGCTATTAGTATAAGACCAACCGGTCAACCGTGATCAGTCAGTACATTATAGAATAGAATATTAAATTGTACGGTCGATATACACCAGCTCGAGGCTCTTTAAGGCATGCATCTTGGATAATGTGCACGTAGTCAACCACCCTGTCCATCACTGAAGCTGGTCTGAACGTTATTCAATGTAATATCTTATTGCTTAATGCTAAAGGTACAGCACGAAGACTGTTTAAAAGGCCAAGAGTAAGTAGGTGTCAGCTTCATTTATAGGAGCACGGTTTGAGAGAAACGTGTATTAGGTAAGTTTGAAAGAAACGTTCTGCTAGGACACATGTGACAGGTATGTTCTGTACCAATCCACATTTTTTTTTCACTTTCCTGCGCGGCCCTCTGTCGCTTTGGAAAGATTTTGGCTGGATCCGGGACAATCGGTATCGTCAGAATGGAAGCCTCCGAGATCAAAGGAGCTTCGCGACTTTTCCGCTAGGGGCAAAGGAGCATGTGCTGTGGTATCGTGGCAGAAAGGCCGATTGATCACGTTTTCGTGCTCTCTGCCACGTCATAAAGTCGTGCCAATGACGTCATGGTTGTGATAATGATGGCACTGCCTAATTTTTTAGATACATTGTTACATACATACTCATACATCTACATACCTCAAGAGGCGAAAGATGGGGCGACCACCCAAACTACAAAGCAAACAGCTCAGTTGAAAAACCACAGCACACACGCACACAAAAAGAACGGATGACGTGGGTTGGAGCACCGCGGGCGGAGGATTGTCAATTCGTTTCAATCATCTTCAAGTTTCTTTTCTTTTTTCTTCATTATGGATAGGAACAACGAGCCAGCAAAATTTCAAAATGGATGTTCGTGGCCCATCCTTTGCAATTAGGCTCTCCTTGGTTTCCTCTACGAGCTGGACCGCCCCATTGTTCTATAGTTCTACGTAGAAATATAGAAATATAGTTGTTCGCATAGTTCTGCATAAGAGTGCATGCCACTCAGTCACGAAAACGAAGAGTCGGGGCGTGTTAGACGCGCTCCCGAACTCGGACACCAGAGACGTGATTACCTTCTCGGCGACCGGGGGAAAAAAACAAACAAGTCACGCATAGCCGCTATACATAAACGGAGTATAGCCAACTGACCGACCGAAGTAAATACCGCACTCGTGTTTCTGCATCTGCCATAAAAGCAAGCGTCAGAGGCGCGCTTCCTTCCTCGATCAAAGAGACACTGAAGTTTAGCGAAGAGTCTGTTTAGGCTAATGTGTTATACTTTAATGACTCTGCAAATTAGTTCTGCGGAAACCCGCAAGGTGGCGAAAGGTTTAAGAAAGGGAAAACAAGACAACCACCCGTTTGTAGCACGAAGCCACAAAGAAATTCGTATGGATTTCTCAGAAAGAAAATCCTCTTGGTTGCCAAAAAATTTGTCCGGGGATGAATTTTTCGGCAACTCAGAGGCGATATCTCTGCGCTTGACGTCACGGACTCTAGTTTTTATTTTCATCTTCGGGTGTTTTTTTTTTTCGCGCATTTCGGAAACATTGTCTCTCCGATATTTCGTTAAGCTTGGTATACATCAGCTCTCTGGCCTTTCTATAGGACCATGCTCTTTATTTTCACTGATTAAAGGCTACGTAGGTCCAAGTGGACGCCGCCACAATCTATGACGTCACTGCGTTGGGCACTGAAACTTCAAGGTGGTGTCGCTACCTTATTTGTAAAGCTGTGCCACCCCCCACCCCCCCTTTTTTTTCTCGCTTATCAAGCGTCTTCTGGCGGTAAGCGAGGTTGTTTTGGTGTACCGAAGAGTCATCCATAAATACGAGTAAGATCGGTTTTTTTTGCTCAGTGGCCCATTAATTCACGCGCTGCTATAGCTCGCGTATCAACACCACCCAAACAATGCATTTTTCCTTTCCCTCAACCCACGTTGTCTTTCTACCAAAATACTTTCCTCCTCCCACTTCTCTTCATGTATACGTCTATCGAGACAGAGACTCGACTCCAAAGTTGTACCGTTTTTTTTTTTTCTCCTGACACAGCGATTTCATTTCTGTTCCCTCACTTTTTTCCCGTGTGTGTCTTTCGCAATCCTGACTGCCGGGTCATCGCTAATCGAAAACTCGTTTCTTGCCATGGGTGCCGCTGCTGCTTGGCTCTATATATATTTTTACGGGCACTGCAGCAGCAACGGCCGAGGTATAACAGCGTTTCGGAATCGTGTTTCCTTTTCGCCAGCGCCGTTTCTTTCGAAATAAGGTGCACACACTCGCAGTGCTCTCGCCCGGCCACCCCTCCGAGGATGTGCACCAACAGGAATGCAATTAGAAACCCAAGTCAGGCCTCCCCTTCTCCGTCGCCGACACGACTCGGTTTCGTAAGCGAGCCAGTCGAGGGCGTTTTGATCTGCCGGCTTTTTTAAGTTCGATGCCTTCCGCTTATAAGTATCACGCTTGGCCCAGGCTGATGCTCAAAAGCAGTGCTGCTGGAAAGTTTTCGTTCGATTTCCATCTTACAGCCGTGTGGATCTGGATTAGTATAGACCCATAATTCGAAGACCGCACATACAACCTCAGGCCTTTGTGGTGTTTGTCCGCGTAGAACCTCGCACTTCTTGTTTGGTGTAGAGTATATTAGAAAACATAGCATACAGATGCACGAGAAGTAATTAGGGACAGTCGCACCGAGGTTACACGTCTGCCTTAATCCATTCAAAAGTACCACCCTCCGCCATTTTGGCTGCCCCAAACAGGACGTGTGGTGTTGCCAATCACCGATTCGTAAAACATATGTCGTTCCTGGCGGCTTATAGCTGTCTTAAGCTCTCCGGCGTTGGGGAATGTCACGTTGTGCGTAGGTCTATAAACTAATCGAAAACCAGCGCTAATCTTCTCGTTTAGCAGTCCCATAGGTCTGCGCTGTCGGCTAATCATTTATTCAGATCGAAGGGCAGGCGCTCTTTCTCACACACATTTATACCGCATGGTAGTGGTTAGAAGAGGAAGGAGGTGCATGCCGACGCCGCTACGTGTCACTCCGCTCACCTTACACGTACCATATAGACTCCCCACCGTGGCGCGCGCATGCTCGAACACAAAAGAATAAAACAGTGATAACTATCGATCTTACAGGAACGACCTTCGAATAATCGATAGCGTGCTGAACGACGCTCTCACACGGGTTTTTCAAGTCGCCTCTATAGCCCCGTAAGTAGCCTCATTCGGTCAGTTGCTGTTATTTCTGCATGCTCTGCGAACTCACGTATGCGTGAAAACGAACGTGACGCTGGCTGCGGCCGTCAGACACCGCGTCTTTTTTTTTTTCATTTTCTTTTGTTTTTTGTTGCTTCATTTCTGGCTCTCGATTGCTTTGTGAATATACCAGCCTATCCGTTCAGTCGTACTTATGCATGTGTGCGCAAAACGCCTGCTGAAAATCGAGGTTACGTTCACGCGCATTCGCATTTAATCGCTGCTGGGTGCTCGGGGCAGCAATAGAACGTGATAGAAACTGCTAGACCACCTCGCCTCGCCAGAGTGGTGGGTGTATACGTAATTACGGGGTTCCTGTGCAGCGTGCGGGCGGGGATAAAATATTTTATTTGAGAAAAAGAGCGCCTGATTGGGTGCCGTAAATCATCGTACGAAAAGTAAGGGCACGTGAGAAGTGACTGATAAGCCTTCTTGTTTTCTTTCGAAGCTTTGTTTTTTTTTTTTTCCGGAGTCAAAGACGTGATGAGGTCGGCGGGACTATTTATTGATCAAAGATATATCGGCGAATCCTAAATCAAGTCCACGTGAATCTCGCAGATTCTTAGCGTCGTGTGCGCTTCATAGAAGGCGGAACCGAGAGGCAAGGTCGTATTACGCGGGAAATTTATCACGCAATTTATAGCGGAACAAGTTGGCATTTTGTGCCTCTTTACTTCTTCCTTCTTCAACAGTCTGCACGGCGATGTCTTGAGAGCGTGACGCATAAATAATTATTGCGACACTGATGTAGATTTATATAATTTCTTAATCTCGAGCCATCCTTGAGATTTAAGGCTTACAGCTACGTACCCGGACCTTCTAATATGTTTAACTGAAACGTTAGACACCGGAACGATAATCAGTCGATAAGATAAGCGGAAAGCCGATCAACGCGACATGATGTCAAGAATCGGGTACAGCAGGAAGGGTGGCTCAGTAACCGATTAAGTGGTTATGCTTCCACCTTATATAAACTGTGGCGTTCTTTCTTTCTTCGTAACAGTCGAGCTTCTCAAACTAAGCGAGTGATATATGTATCTCGGTATCGCATCGCATAGTTTTTTTTTTTCTCTGCATACCTGAAATACATAATTTCTCCATGTTTGTGATATCAACGCTCCCTTATGAAGGAAGCAGCACGCAAAGGCAATCGAAGGACACCAAAGGCGGACAAGCAACAGCGCCGACTGACGACTTAGTTCTTCAAACGGGGAATCCACAAATATACTCGGGGAAGGGCTGTATATTACCGCGCATGACCAAAGGAGCATGAGATAAACTTCAATATAGCTGCGATTAGATATCATCAAAATTATTACGTAGGTTAATGCATATTAACTGCGCATAAGTGAACACCGGTAACGAAAAGATAACGCAAGATGCACTGTTTCTTCTGATAACACTGAGAGTTCACGCGTGCGAACATT